AACGCGCATCAATCACAGAGGTCAAAGGGCGCTGACTAGCGGGGTTCAAGCGGTGTTCATGTAAACATTGCATGTGATAATAATGTTGTGAGATTCGCTTTATTAAATGTACAGGGACTGATTTCTAAACGTGTTAACAAATTGAAGAGTGTAGAAATTATTGAAATATTTAATAAAAATGACATTATTTGTTTTACGGAAACATGGGGGAGTTTTGAACATGATTTTTGTGTCGCCTCTACGGAGTAGTGGCGACATATAGGGATCACTTCTCTGTCGTCTGTCTGTCCGTCTGTCTGTCTGTCTGTCTGTCCGTCCGTCCGTCCGTCCGTCACAAAACTTGTCCTGACTACTCCTCATAAACTACTGGTGCAATTTCATCCAAACTTTACAGGAATTATCAGTACCAAGTCTAGTTGTGCATATTGTCAGCATTTTACGGTTCAATGATTTTTGTCAGAGTTATGGCCCTTTAATAATTTTTAATTTTAAAGTTTGTCCGGACTACTTCTCTTATACCACTAATGCAATTTCAATGAAACTTTACAGGATTGATCTGTAGCTCAAGTCCTTGCGCATATTGCACGGGTTTTCCGGTTGAATGATTTTTGGTCGAGTTATGGCCCTTTGATAAAAAGTTTTTTTTTTCTGTGTGTTGCCAGATACACAAAAGCTTGTCCGGACTACTCCTCATAAACTACTGGTGCAATTTCATCCAAACTTTACAGGAATGATCAGTACCAAGGTTAGTTGTGCATTTTGTCAGCATTTTCCGGTTCAATGATTTTTGTCAGAGTTATGGCCCTTTAATAATTTTTATTTTCAAAGTTTGTCCGGACTAGTTCTCTTATACCACTTATGCAATTTTAATGAAACTTTACAGGATTGATCTGTAGCTCAAGTCCTTGCGCATATTGCACAGGTTTTCCGGTTGAATAATTTTTGGTCGAGTTATGGCCCTTTGATAAAAGGGTGTTTTTTTTCTGTGTGTTGCCTGAGTGAGATACGCAAAAGCTTGTCCGGACTACTCCTCATAAACTACTGGTGCAATTTTATCCAATCTTTACAGGAATGATCTGAGTACCAAGTCTAGTTGTGCACTGTCCGTCTGTCTGTCCGTCTGTCACAAAATTTGTCCAAATATGAAATTGGCCACTATGAGGCGACACATGTGATTACTGATCGCTCTTGTTATGTAGAAGGCTTTCAATACTTTTTCTTAAATAGAGATGTAAAACTAAAAGGAACGACTAGGAATTCGGGTGGTCTGCTGATATATGTTAGAAACAAATTTGTGACACAAAATATGTTTTTGTTTGATTACTCCGATTCACATTTATGGTTAAGATTTCAATCTCAACATTTTAATTTTGGGACAGACCTTTTTCTTTGTTTATGTTATATTGTACCGACAAATTCAAGTAGAAACATGCAAGTTGAGAGCAATATATACGCTACAATTATAGACAATATTTTATACCTTCAAAACACGTATGGTGATGAAAATTGTACATTTATGCTCTTGGGAGACTTAAACTCGAGGGTTGGCCTCTTACCCGATTACGTGGTTGATGATTCTGATATTTTATTTAATTGTGATTTACTTCCAGATGATTATACTGCTGATTCACTTTACCTCGTTTTTCACAGGATGAATATACCAATTCAAATGGTATTTACTGCTTGACTTTTTAAAACAAACAGGGCTTAGAATAGCTAATGGGAGGGTAGGGAATCCTGAACAGTCGGGGTCTTATACTTTTGTAGGTTATAATGGGTCAAGTGTTGTAGACTATTGTATTGTTGATATTCAAATGTTAACTGAATTTAAATCATTTATAATACATGAACCTAATTTATTATCTTACCATTGTTTGATTGAGTTTACCTTGAAGGGTAGTATGTATGCAACTAGTGATGTTATAAATATTCACAACGAACCAGAGTTTAATGAACTCAGTAGTTGTTACAAATGGAATAATGATTATAAAGATTTATATGTTGAAAAAATAAATAGTGAACAGTTTATTTCTACAATAAATGACTTAAACCAATCTGTAGAAAATGCTCAATGTTGTAATGATATTGACAGTAATATTGAATGTTTTGTTAGTTGTATTGATCAAGTTTGTTCACCAATGTTTAAGAAAACAGTTAAATGTAATGCTCATATTAAATCAAATAACAATTATTCAACACAATTCAATGATAGCTGTGACAATAGCAGGAAAGATTTTTATCAAAAACTTAATAACTATAGGCGCAATAAAAATGACATAAATAGAAAGGAAATGATAGAAGCAAGAAGTATTTATAAAGAATAATGTTGGTAATTTTAATTATGAAAAAGACAAACAAAACACTGATAAATTACTAAATGCCAAATATAAAAATGCTAGACTTTATTGGCGAATGCTTAAGGAATCGGTTGCACCAAAGGCACCAAAGATATATTTTTAGAAACTTTCACGCATTATTTCAAAGCAATTAATAATCCTGATGACTCATTTTTTCAACCTGACGGCGACGTTTTATACTTTAATGAGAAAGTTAATGATATGTTTTCTGAGTTATATGTACCGTTTTCTCGTTTAGATATTTTGAAGGGTATATCAGATCTGTATTTGAATAAAAGCGGAGGCCCGGACCGAATATTAAACGAATTTAAAATAATGTTTTTGCTGGCTATTTTTTAAATCTTTTTAACAAACTATTATATCTTGGGTATTTTCCTAAAAAGTGGAGCGAAGGTCTCATTGTTCCTATACATAAAAAAAAGCGTTATCGGAAAATTATTCACACGTTTAATAAATACTAGGCTTACAAATTGGGTAGAAAATTATTACGTTTACGTAGAATCTCAAGCGGGATTAAGAGCCAAAATGGGCACCACTGATAATATTTTTGTTTTACATGGTTTGATTAATCATATTATTAATAATAATAAACAGTTGTTTTGTGCATTCATAGATTTTATAAAAGCATTCGACTATCTAGTAAGAGAAAACATTTGGCATAAACTTTATAAATTGGGACTTCGTGGTAGGCTTTATAATGTTATTAAATGTCTTTACAGCTGTGTCACATCTAGAGTAAGATTAAATAATAATGTAGGAGAAATATTCGAAAGTTATTTAGGAGTACGACAGGGCGAAAGTCTCTCCCCTTTTTTATTTTCAATGTATCTAAACGATCTTGAAGACGAGTTATATTTAAAAGGATCAAAAGGCATAGACATCTGTTACTTGAAGTTATTTTTGTTAATGTATGCTGATGACATTGTAATATTTGTTTCTTCAAAAGACGAATTACAGGATAATCTTAATATTTTGCATAAGTATTGTAAACGTTGGAAACTATGTCTAAATAAGGCTAAAACAAAAGTAATTGTTTTCAGGAAAGGGGGCCGCCGCCTGCCACAAAATCTTAACTTTTGTTATGATGGATATCCTTTAGAAATAGTTAACAAATTTTCATATCTAGGTATTGTTTTTACGACTGGTGGTTCTTTTAGTGAGGCTCATAAAACTTTATCCGGTCAAGCACAGAAAGCGGTTTTTAGATTAAGAAAGTATCTGTACAAATACACTAATATTACAATTGAACACACTTTAGAATTATTTGATAAATTAGTTAAACCGATTCTTTTGTACGGTTCGGAGGTATGGGGTTTCACTAAAGCTCCACAAATAGAAAGAATTCATACTCTATTTTGTCAATCTATTCTTTATGTTAAAACCTCTACTCAGAATGACTTTATCTATGGTGAACTTGGTAGAACGGATCTTTATTCACAGCGTATTTTTAGAATAATTAGATATTGGTTAAAAGTTACAAGTAGTATCGAACGAAAATATGTCAAATTGATTTACTTGCAAATGTTAAGTGATATAGATTAAAAAAACAGGGTAATAAACTGGGCATCTCAAGTCAGAGACGTTTTAGGAAATTTAGGATTTTTCGAAGTTTGGCTAGCTAAGGGTGTTGGTAACCAAACATTGTTTTTATCTAAGCTAAAACAAAGAATTTCAGATGTTTTTATTCAAGATTGGACAAGTCGTATAAATTTATCATCAAGGGCAAGATTTTATAGAGTATTTGCAAAATTTGAATACAGATTTTATCTAAAAAATGTTAATATAAGTAAATACTTGACAGCTTTAACCAGATTAAGACTGTCAGCTCATCATTTAAGAGTTGAAACTGGCAGATGGGTTAACATTTCTTTAAGCGACAGATTATGTAGCGCATGTCAAAAATTAGAGGACGAATTTCACCTATTGTTTGAATGTAAATTGTATAATTCTATTGGGAAGCGATATATCAACCAATATAACGTAATAAAACCAAATATGTAAAAACTATAAAACTGCAGAACTGCTTAACCCTTTCCCCCATGAGCATATTGTGAAAAATGGCCGTTTTCACTGAAAAGCCTCCTGTTACAAGTTCAAACTGCTATGAAACTATGAAAAATGCTTCAATACTAATCAAACTTGGCACAAATGTTGACTGGACCATTGCCTTTGTAACGACATGCTCAGTCTTAAATTTTCTGTTACCATGGAAACGAGGGGACATCTCAAAGTTGCCAAAAATCACTATTTTGCCTCGATTTTTTCCATCAAAATTTATTTCAAAGTGCTGCAACTTCTCAAGGGATTGAGATAGAGTCAAAGGCTTTTCAGCGTTGGTTACACGTTACATTATGATCGACCTGGGGTCATTTTTAGCCTCTCACAAGTCCAAAATATTCTTGGCGATGAGGGGGACTCCGCCCCCCTTCAAACCCCTTAACAGAAGGGGCACATCCCCCTTCTGGCAACCCCCTGATGTATCTTTTGGATGGGGGGCAGCGCCGAAAAAGTGCTCAATTGTTTTAGCAACATTTCTCAAACGAAACTCAAACGAAAACTTATGTTTGGGGCCCAAATAGGACATTTTTACACTATTTGAGGCCTAAAAAAGGGGGGGTTGAAAGTGCGTTGTTTCGCGTATATATGTGGTAAAGGGTTAACTCTCATTCAGTACAAATTGTTAGAAAATTAGCAATGTTTGTCTATAAAGCTTTCGAGATTAGAAAAGAATCTACATTGCAATCTTAGAGAGTAATAAATAGTTATATACTGTATGATTCTAAAGTTCCTTTCTATAAACTTTCATATGTTCCTCTTTACATGTATAAAACATTTTCCTATTTTCAAACTTTATTTGATACCTTTTAAATGTTCGATATGTTGTATCATGTTCGTTATTCTTTTTTCTTTTTTTTTTTCTTGTTCTTTTCATAGTATTTTCATTATCCTCTTGTTAAACAATTTTTATTATAGCAAAAACTAAAGGTAAACAAATCTTGATTATCGTTTACATTATAATTGACATGGTTATTTCCCTTGTATGCGTCATACTCGTCTTGTACTTTCGTTTTCGATACAAGGCAATTTGTCAAATACTAAAATGCATATTTGTATGTGTGTCTAAATCTGACATATTCATATCTGACATAAAAACATGTCATGCTTTAGAGTTTTAGTAGTAAAATAATGGTCTTGTAATTTCATTTTCGATACAAGGCATTATGTTACATATATGTTTATGTATACATTTGTAGGAGGTTAGTAATACCAAACATTATAAATATTTATATATGAGCATATTATGATAAAACAAGTTAACATTTATAACCATTGATGTTTAGTAAAAAGAACACATACAGAACAAGGTAACAAACCAAATAATCAAAGAGATAAATATGTATGAAATTATAATTAATATGAATTAAAATGTAAATGACATCATATAGTTTTGATAATATACGAATGTAACAATATGTTGAAAGTGAGTAATATTATTATTCAATGTCCGTCATTGTATTGTAATGTTTTGTGTAATGTATTGTATTGCTGAGAATGTTGTAATTTTATTTTGTGTCAGGTCAAGGGCTTATTAGCCTAAACCAGACTGTTGTTGTTTACATGTGAATTTTGAAATAAAATTCTTCTTCTTCTTCTTCTATGTCCAACTCAAAACAAGTCCCTGTTTTGATCCGGGAATATACGAGACATTGACAAACAATGGTGTGGCAGAAATGCAATACAATATTTGTGCATAAACTTTTACAATTATACAATAGTATTATAAAATACACTTCGTCTATTTTGATTAGATGAATGAAGACGGAAAATGTTAAATGTCAAGCATTCAATGTATATATATATATCAAAGATTGCAGTATATCCCATCAATATATATATATATATATATATATATATATATATATATATATATATATATATATATATATATATATATATATATATACAACTGTATATAATATTAATGGTCAACGATAAGTAAATATTGAATTATTCCACATCGAGCAAGACATGTACGTAAATATTGAGTATCTATTGTAATAAATCGCAATTCATTCAGACAGTTGGAAAAATATCTTGTTTTCTCATTATTTTATTTTTGTTTAGTAGATTCTGTACCAGATGAGGTTGCAAGTGACCCGAGAACAAGAGAACTCTATCAAAAAGCATTAGAGAAAGGCACAGAAAAAGACAACACTATCCGAGTTATGGTTATTGGATGTTTTGAACAAGGCAAAACGTCATTAGTAAGGAATTTATTAAAACAGTCAATTGATGGAGTTGAAACAACAAACGGTATTGAATTGCATAAATGTACAGTTATGAGCGATGGTGAATGGAAGAAGTTAGATAATGAAGATCTAAATAAAGAGACTATTAAGCGCTTAGTAAATGTTGCTCTTAAAGAAAAAAAGGACGAAACAACTTCATCTGATTCCAGTGGGGAAAACTGTCTGCCTAACAAGGACACATTAAGACCTAGTTCAACAACGGATATCACAAGAACAAGGAATGAAAGTGTATCTTTTCAAAAGAGTACCTTTGAAAAAGAGGTAGGTGTTGAAGTTAGCAAATCTCAAATTGCTGTCGCTGCTGAATCAAAAGTAAGGAATAAAAAAGTCAGTTACGAAAACTTAACTTCATTCCATACTGAATTAGAGATATCTGAATCCAATCAGGGTAAAACAAACATTGAAAACAATGTCACGTTAAATATATGGGACTTCGGAGGACAGTTTGTTTTTTATGCTACTCATCAAATATTTCATTCAAAACAAGCTGTTTATCTGCTTGTATTTAATCTAAGCATTTCTCTTGACAAAATTATTGAAGATAAGGAGTTCCCATTACACAAAAAGACAATGAGAGACTATTTAAAATTCTGGGTTGCTTCTGTAAACTCTTTTGTTGGGAGTAGTGATGGAATGGAACCAGCTATTGTTTTAGTGGGAACGCACAGGGACAAATTGAATGCAGGAAACAACAGCGAGAACTATTTTGAGCAGGTGAGACAACTATTTGAACACAGTATATGTATTAATCATATTCAACCTGAGCACTTTGCTATTGCAAACACAAGTGGATCAGAAAGCGAAATCAATGCTTTACGAACATATATATCACGTTTAGGGCAACAACATTTGGATAAAATAATGCCGGCTAAATGGATTCTCCTTGAGAAGGCACTTAAAATAAACAAACAGAAAAAAATTATAACAATTGATAAACTCAAACAAATAGACAGTGAAACGGATAGTCCATTACAAACTTACAACTCAACGGAAACAATGGATCAGATCAAACTATTTTTGTCCTATCATCATGCAAAGGGAACATTCTGTTATTTTGATGAGGACAATTTGTCAAACCACGTTGTCTTAGATCCACAATTTCTCGTTGACGCTTTCAGGTGCGTTATTACATCTGAAAAGTTTTGCATTGTGCGTCCGAAATTGAGAAACGTTTGGAAAGAATTGTGTAATACCGCAATCTTACGCCCAGAGCTTTTTGAAGAGGTTTGGAGACAAGAAAAAGACAACAATTTTTATGAATTTAAACACTTACTGATAGAGTACATGCAAAAAAATCATATTTTAGCTGAGGCTCTATCTCATAATCTTGATTCTGAGCCGGTCGTAAGACGTTTAGGGTATTTCATTGTTCCAAGTTTACTCAAGACGTCATCTGCTGACACTATCAGATCATATCTAAAAGGAAAACCTTTGTCAACTGTTTCTTTGTGCTATAGGTTCGAAAATGAAACGCTGACCCCCTTTATTTTCCAGGCCTGTTTAGCAGGTATTATAGGAAGATGGCCACTTGCAAAGTACATAAAAACCGCTGTGTTGTTTGATCACGTAGCTGCATGTGATATAGAACGAAGACATGCTGGTGTATTGATGCTGTCGGAAAACAAACTCGAGCTACTTGTTGTTAGTCTTTGTCCTCCCGACAATGTCAAAGCTGATGTCTGTGACATGTTTCGACGATACGTAGAGGTGGTTATGATGAAAAGAATGCACAAATTGCATACCGATAAGCATGAGGGGCATTTTTTTAGTCGTGCGGCGAGGTGTTTGCATAAAGATCATGGAACCGATGGAAGTTATGAAACATTCGATATTGATGCTATTGACAATACACAATCATGTAATGATGAGAAAATACCATGTCCAGACAGAAGAAGTCACTGTTTGCACATGCGCAGTATTGTTAAGGAATGGTTCATGCCGAATGTTGATCAAGATAAAGTTCCAAAGAGAAAATTATCACAAAAAGAATATAGCACACTGGCAATGTCAATTGGAAAAGGTTGGAAGCTGATTGGATTGCAACTTGGTCTTGATAACATAATTTTAGATCATATTTGTATGAATGAAAATGATGCATGCATGCGCATATATCAAATGTTTTTGAAATGGGATAACAAGGAGGGTGACCTAGCTACGCTAGACGTTATTGTACAAGCGATAGAGAAATGCAACCCGGAACAAGTACATGTTAAATTGGATGTTTTAAAAAATATTATCAACGGTTTTTGAACTTATGAATTAGCTTAGTGTGTGTGTTACAAACGATGAAATTTGTAAGGACGTCCACCAAAATACAAAATGAAATATTCGTTTAAAGTAACAAAATGTTGATTTTTTAAAACTGATTTCATACTTTGTCATTTATACATTTATGAAATTATCGGTGGAATCGATTATGTACGCGTTACTTTTAAACATGCATTTAATGTCGTTTGATTATGTTGCATAATGTTTTTTTACGATTTTCTGTTTCTGCTTTGTTCAGTAAAATAATAAATAAACTATTTCCAAAGAACTCAAATATAGATTTATTCTTACAGTCTTATGACGTTATATCGGTGTAAGAGTTATGTTTTACAGTGCGGAGTTATGTTTTACAGTGCGAATATAATTTCTTTTAAGAAAAGACTCATTGTATTTTTAACTTGTATTTTTTTTACACAGCGTTTGTTTCAGGATATCTTAGGTTGCAGATTTCTTAATCGGCTTTCAATATTAACTTGTGAATGAACACGTCAAACCTTTTTCGTGATCTTTTGTTTGGAAATGTTTGGTAATACTTCGGCGGTCGGTCCATCTAATCGGCATCCCTTATAACTAAATGGTAATTACTAGCTAATCTGCAAATTATCGTTTACTTATCATTAAGTATTTCTCAATCAGCAATGAACGGCATATTATGTGAGATTAAGAAGTCGGCAACCTGTGGGTAAATTTGAAATTACAAGTGGGATACTCAGGAAGGAGGCTAGAAACTTACCATAACTTAAATAGCTATGCTCCTCCTTATATCCTGGATATAATAAATAGCTGGACAAGTAATCCTGCGGCTACAAAAGTGGTCTCATATTGACGCCCAAATGACCATCAAATGACGTTGAGTGGATACTGTTATTATTAATATTTATTAAGATTTTAAACAAACTGGCTTTTATTTCTCGTATTTACATTAACAACTACGATTACAACTATAATGTCCGATCTCATTTAACTAAATTGCCATTACAAAAAAAAGAGATATTTAAAGATCAACGTGTTAATATAGGCGCTTTTCGTGTCATTTATATGTGTCAAAAAGTAACTCAACCCCCTTTTTAAGAAATGATATTCAAGGTGACTGGGTGACTAAGAGGTCAACACGTCAGAAAAGAAATCTATTAAATCTTTAATCAAACGAATACTAGAACGATTGATCTACACTTGTAAAAGCAGCTAAAGCATCTTCAAATAGTAAGAATCCCGCTAAATAAATACACCTGACGTGACAATAAATTGCTGCACTGCAATTTATTAAACAATCTAAAGACATTTAACACGAATTTGTCCTGAAATAGACTAACAAATCTCCAGAAGATACTTTTAGTATTGAAAAGGTAATCTTATTCTTTTGGAAAAATTAAATTACTGTTAAAAAGTAATTATAGAAGATGATTGATGGAGAATTAATACACATTTTACATGGACGATAAAAATGGATGGTGCAGCATTCTATAAAAATAACCACACAGGTTACTTGATAAGGCATCTTTATTTAAATAATGCATAAGATATTTTCATTTGGCTTTTGTCATACATTTTACAGCATAAAAAGAATAAATTTGTGTTTGTGTTGCCAACTGTCCTGGCTTCTCCAGCTGAACCTGTTTTTCAGAGATGATACAGAAAAACTTGTGCAGAAGACCATTGGTATGTCATAATCTACTTTAACATTACTTATCACCTTAATCTCCGGATATTCTGGCTAGGCAGAATAAACATAGTCACGACCGTTTTAAATGGGAAAAAAATCCGACGACAAATTCAATAATATGTGTGACCGCTGGTGTACCTGTGCCCGTCGGGAAAACTGGTATTTTGCCGACGTTGAAAATAGTAAAGAAGTACTGATCTTGGCCTTTAAAATATATTTGAAGTTCTGTTTACTATAAGAAGATGGTTATTTAGGCTGTTAGGACATCGTATTAATCAGAAAAAATACTTTATTTTCACAAGATGTCTTGATCTGTTCACTGTCTTGATCAAACCACGTCTTATTTTAATTCGCATTCTTTTTATGTAATAAAATGATTTAATTCTCAGACAAATAGCATTCTGTAATTAAAAAAAATAAATCATTTTACATTTGATCCTTTATCATCTATCAGCTGTATCAAAGCACCCATGTTATCCATTTCAAGTAAATATTTATTACAATTTGTTTTGTTTAAACATAAAAAACAATTAATATAACTATTCCTTCTTCAACAAAAAGAGCTAGTGAGAATGCGGCAAATTGCCAAGACGTTATAAACGTCAATTGAACAAGAACTACAGGACTATTGACAGCGAACTGTCCGACATGTATAATTTCTGCAGCGGGTTAACCAATTCCGTTTTGACCAAACAATTGAATTTAAATAATATTTTAATTTATTCATCAGGATATGTGACTTTTTACAATAAATAAATATAGTTAATGTTTGTATGACATATTCAATACATATTGTAATTTGATACTATAAATCACAAATTTCATTAACTATATTAGACTGTCCGTATTCTATCGAGATAACTATAACCTTACCTGAATCAATGTTAACAGGTAAGCATTTTGTACGAAAAGGGCCTAGAAGATGCGATTGAACAAACATTTCAATTTTACGACAGTATACGGAACAATGTCTATTTGTGGTAACTATCATGCTACCAGTTAATAACACAAGGATTTTACACCAGTCGTCATTTCATATAAAGTCTACACTAACAAAGTTCTTTGCTCCTGCGTTTATGAATAAATTATGCAAATGAGCCAGGTTGAGCCGCCATGTTGGAGTTTCGGTAAGCGTGTTGGAAATTGCTAGTGTTCGTTTTGAAAGCTCGTCCTAACTTACAATTTCATTGAATGTAGGAAAACTTGGTTTTGTGTGATTGCATATTGAATGATAGGTATTACAAAATAAATATAATGAAAATTGATCAATAAATAATTGTATACGAGCGTTATAAAGTCAATTTAATTCGTCAGAATATTAAGGTTCTGTTGCAGGGTATCGGTAAAAGACTGCTTTTTTCCACGTTTTTGAAATTTATTTGGACACGGAGACAATTTTTCACAAACAGGTTTATGAATATACTTTACGTTGCAACAGAGTTTACCGTGTGTCCATTCCTTATTTAAATTGTCTGAGAAGTTAAATATGTTTGTTTACATGTAAATGTGTACCGTCATTTTGACCGACTGGAATAAAAACTACCATGACGGTAATAATACTGGATATGTAATGAAAATTACGCCGTGTAGTGCAAAGTTTTGGACATTGCAATTAAAATTAAAACTTACGTTGACTCAAACTGTTCCTTGTCAGCAAAATTGAAACAGAAAGTAGAGGTTGTTCTAGAATTTAATCGAATAAAATGGGTGGGATTTAACCACCGCGCATGCCCTGTGCGAACGTATTGTTTACATCCGGTCGTAGCATAGGGTAAGAGTGCGAACTTTGTTAGTGGTCTAATTACATGTACGTTAATAAATCGTATGTATATAGCAAAGCTGTAACAGCGAGATATTTGAGCTTTATGTTCACATCGTAAATCATTTCACTGTAAGTATTTATTAAACCGCATTTTGTATGAACTGCTTTTTACTACACATTGAAATTACTCACATCTACACAATTTCGGCCACCAAATTCACTCGATACTGCTACATACAAGTTGGCTTCTTTCAAAAGAAGCATGTCAGAGGTTTTTCTACAGCTGTGTGATATTAATTTCATTGTTCAAATTCACGCCCGTTTAACTCACAACGATTGTAAAATGTCCATCGGTAAAAATGTTGTGAGCAACTTCCGTTCCTCGTTGTGAGCACCCATCTCGGACGTGTGACACGATAAACAGGGTGAGTTTTTACAGACATTTATGCAAAATATCGGAATGCAGTTAGCTAGCGATGTGTTTTCCGAGTATGCACATGTAAAGATATTGCCTGTTAGTCGACAATTTGATGGAAATACCGTGCGACGCAGTCACTCGGAGTAGCTGGAAAACTGGAGACAAATTCTCTCCGGACCTAATTTAACATTGAAAACGTCAATTCTGGTGAAGTTTTGTGCATTCTAAACTAAAACAGATGCCCATAAGTCTTCAGCGTAAATTATTACCTGAAAGTATTCATAGAAACGAAGATATACCCTTTTCTGCTTTAATCCTCTTTGTGAGCACCATAGCCTCATTACGAGCAAGACAAGCGCAGTGCGTGTCTGGTTTTAATATGTAATTCAGATGGTGAAAATATAATTTTCAATCTACCAAAATCAATTAAAACGTTTTTGCACAGCATCATTTCTTTGCAAGACGCTGTGCATACCCGAAGGGAGGCATATTAGTTTTGAACTGTCCGTCCGTCAGTCCGTTAATCCGTCCAAAACTTTAGCATTGGCCATAACTGCCTTATAAGTAAACGGATTTGATTCATATTTGAACACAACATCCCTTAGCACAGACCATCCTACGGACCTGTGAATTTACCTTGACCCCTGAATGGCCTTTACCTTGAAAGTCAAATTGTCCAAAAATATTTAAGATTGGCCATTATGTCCTTATTAGAAAATCAATTTAATTCATATTTAGGCACAACACCTCTTAGGACAAGGCCTTCTAACTGACCTATATTCTTTTGACCTTGATCCCTGAATTACCTTTACCTTGAAGGTCAAATTGTCCAAAAACTAAAAAATTGGTCATAACTTCCTTATAAGTATACGGATTCTACTCATATTTTGACACAACACCCCTTTAGACAAGACCTTCAAACTGATCTGTAATTTTTGTACCTTGACCCCTGAATGACCTGTTAGAACATCCAAAAACTTTAGCATTGGTCATAACTTCTTTATTAGTAAGTGAAATTAATTCATATTTGGACACAATGCCCCTTTGGACAACCCCTTCCAACTGACCTATATTTATTCTACCTTCACTTTGAATGACCTTCACATTGAAGATGCAGAAACCTTTGTTTATGTTATTGACGTGAAGAATTTTACTATGTATGTAAAAATTCAGTTTGAGTATAAGAAACAAACCGTACACAACGCTAAAGTTTACTCATGATCACGTGCTCACATTTTATGGTGCCGTGCACCGAAACTACCATGAATCTTCTTCATAAACTACAAGCAACGAATTGTTACTACAGTCAACCATTGTGTTTATTAAAACAGCGCTACGGACAGAAACACAAAATCACCTCCGCAAAAATGCAGGGATTGTTGCAGTTATCAACGCCTGCAGACAATATTCGAGGA